ATTCTCTTTTTGGCTGACATGGAGCAGCTGGCTGACCTGGGTGTGTGCGCGTGTGTGCCTCACCAATCTCTCTAGATCACAATGTCTGTAAAGTTACAGCAGTGCTTCGGAGGGATACACAACAGCAGTGCGCTGCGAAAAGCCACTCACGCCAGCTGCACGATCCCGGGCCCAAGGGGGCTTGACGGGGTGATGAACACGTCCCGGGTCTATTACGGGGGAGGTTACAGACTGTACATGCATTTGCCAAAACCCACTCCACCGCACATTTAGAAAGGGGAGTTTTACTGTATGTAAGTCAGACCTCGATTGAAAACATTCCTAATAAAATAGGAGGTTGGGCTCAGATGACTTCTAAAACGCTGAGTCTAAACCTTGGATTTCTGACTCGACATGGGCTCTTACGGGGCTATCTGATGACTGCTGGCAGGCGGGGTGCATGCCAGCCTGTCCCAGTGTGGGCTCTTCAGTTGGCAGCGTGCCCAGTCCTGATTCGGAAGGGACTCCCTGCCCCCGGTGCAGGCAGGACATCCGCAAACCACAACGAATGCTCCGTCTGCTCCAAACGCAGCCTCTGGGGTGGGAGTCAGCGTGAGTTTCAGCAGCAGCTGCCACACACCTGAGATCCACGGCACTTCGCTAGTAGGTGTCACTATTGTCAGTGGGAGCGGGTGGGAGGCAGTTAACTAATTTAATGAACAAAAATTACAAAGAAGAAAATTACGAGAGGGAGGTGGAGAGACAGGAGCTGGAGTCAGTGAATCCCTGGATCACAAACATACATTTCCGTCACAGAATCTTTATTTTACATGTTTGCATCACAGCGAGAAGCCATCCCCAACAGCACCCGGATCGGAAGCCCCACCCATCCTGTTTACATAAATGCTCTTCAATGATCATTGTTAAAAAAATACTGAAAGTGCCTTCTGCACCCCAATCTAACAAGGAAAGCAAATGATATGTACAGGCATTGTCTCCCCCAAATGTAACTTGATTCTGGATTCGATGTCTGACTTCTTTTGTGGTCAATGACGAGGAAATCCAATTCATGATCTATATATGCCCCGAGGGTCAAGAAAGCCCCTTGTCTGCACAGGGCTCCGGCCCCTTTGGTTAAGAGGTATCTTATTTGGTTAGTAAGTATCTTAATGCGAGGGGGCTGGCCCTCAGGCTCCGTCTGAGCTGCGATCGCACCACGAAACCTCGCACCTTGCCTCAGAGCTGCTCACTCTTGGGAGTCGGTCAGTTTTCCTATTTTGCTTGGACATTTACTGACTTTGTCCACAACTCCCCCTTCCCAAAGGCCTGGGAGTCTGGAGTGTTCGGGTCACTACATTCCAGGCGGTGGCAATGCAGGTGGAACCCTTCTTCCAAAATATATTTTTACTGATTTCACACAGGAAGGGAGAGGGATAGAGAGAAACATCAGTGAGAGAGAATCATTGATCGGCTGCCTCCTGCACACCCCACACTGTGGACTGAGCCCGCAACCTGGCATATGCCCTGACCGAGAATCGAACTGTGACCTCCTGGTTCATAGGTTGACACTCAACCACTGACCCACACCGGCCGGGCACAGGTGGGTCCCTTTTAAAGACTTCCTGCCAAACATCCTAGAGAAACAGGAGCACAGAGCAGATGTGAGAACCGCTGATGTGTTCCCACGAACGCCTTTGTGATGTACCAAGAGGCACCGAGTCAGAGCCTAACTTCTTTAGTGGGGAAGCCATTGATTTAGTGACTCCCGAGGGGGAAAGGAGCAGGTCCCAGGCCCCCTGGACCCTGCACATTGTGAACTGGTTCAGAGGCCCGCCAACGGGGAGTGTGGAGTGGAAGGGGTGGATTTGGCAGCGGGCAGCATGGAGGCTCTGCTGTCCCACGGGGGTATGGAGCAGGGCCAACCTCATCAGACTGTCTGATGGGCCCGGCCCCCTGGAAGACAACACTTTGGGGGAAATGGCCAGATGCCACTTGTAATAACAATGGGCAACATGTCACTCCTCTGCAGGCTGTAAGTGCTGGGACATACACTGGAATGCAGGAAGAATCCCACATCCGGGCCAAAGCAATGATACACGAGTTAGTAGGACCTCCTGGTAAAACTCTCCTGAGCTTAGCCAACTCATCCCTCCAGAGCTTCCGGGAGAAAACGCTGCAATGCACCAAAGCCTGCAGCCTGTATTCCCAGGACTGAGCCTCCGTGGAATCAATAGATGTGG